GCTTTTCACTGTAATTTGATCGTAATTTGAAAGGTGAAACCTAGAAGAGATGTTTGTGTGTAGGAGAGAGGCTGTAATTAGACTGAAAGACTCAAATAAACCTATCAGAGAGAAAACTTTAGAAGTGGCCAAATTCACAATCTGGTACATTCTTTAAAAGACTGAATGCACTGACCAGCTCGGCAGAACCAAAGGGCCCAAAAGACCACAGAAGACAATTAATGTGGATGTTGAATGAATTTCATACCATCTAACCAAGTCAAGAACACTCTTGAGGAAGCAGGTATATCACTGTAAAAGCCTATAATCAAGAGGTGTCTTTGTCAATGTTAATACAGAGGTTTTATAACAAGGTGCAAACCCCTGGTTACACCAAGCCTGGGAGGGTCAGTTTAGACTTTCCCAGAAAGAAGAGCTGCACAGGTGTGTAAAAAAAGAAATCTTTGAAGCAAAATTAACCTGTACCAGAATGATGGGAAGAGAAGGAGCTCATGATCCAAAGCATGCACATCATCTGTCTAACCTGGTGGAGGAAGCATTATAGCATGGGCACCTGTGTCTGCATGTGGCTGCTGATAGAAGTGACAGGAGGAATTGTGAAGCATCAGCCAAATGCTGCAAAACTGATCAGACTGGTCTTTACCAGTTTATACCAATTTATATTAGTCTTTACCATTGATGCTGAACTTCTCAAAATTGAGGACTGCAATTCTTCATGCTAAATTTTTTGTAAAACCTATTGAATTAAAGCTGGAAGTCTGCACTTCAATCGCATGCTGATTGTTTGATTAATAGTTCATTGTGGTGGTGAACAGGGGGCAAGACTACAAAACTCGTGTCTTTGTCTGAAACATTATGGAGGGTAGGGAACGTTTTGTGATCTGGAATATAATGCATGTGGAAAAATACCAAAGATACATCAGGTTCATAAACTTATAGACAAGAGTAGGCTTTAACCCTCAGCATTTGTTCATTAAATTATGTCTTGCTTCCACTATCTTTAAGTTTTGCATTTCACTATAACCATAAGATAGCCAGGTCCTAAAATATGATCTAGCGTATTAGAGCTCGCAGGAACACTGTGAATAGTCTCTCATATGAAACGAGTGATCACATGCTTAAATGAGCATGCCATTATTCATTGTACTAATCCCACATTACATGTTTTAACAGCTATTAGGGTAATTAATGAAGTGATGGAGAGTGACCTTTACAACTAATGAGCCATATTCATTCATTTGCCACATTTGGGCGCTGTGCAGTTGCACTCTGCAGAATCTGTGAAAATCTTACTATCGAAACACAGGAAGCAGTTTGTGGTGAGCTGCTTCCCTCCTTTCTAGTTCAGTTTCAGGCGCTAAAGATGTACAGTTAAGTGAAGGTGTGATCAGGCTTTTATGGTTTCAGTTGCATGATATCACAAACTATTGACAAACTGGCAGAAACTCGACTCAGAATAAACATGAATATAAAACAGAGGAAATACTTTTTGTCTATGGTGACGTCCTGTTTCTTATTAAACTGGGATGCAAGATTAATATGGTGAACATGAATCATTAACCAAATTATTCACCATGTAAAATGGTATTATTCTGTTTTCTTTGAAACACGACATGAACAGGTGGTTTAAAAAGTTAATTTTTATTAATGATCTATCCTAATTGTTTATTTTGCATTTGGATAAGTCACGTGAACTCAGTAAACTTTACTGAAGTAAATTTGAATTGCACTTTATACACTGCTACAAAAAATGAATAGAAAACTTTCTAATCAGAGTTCAGCATCAGGTCAGTTAAACCTGTGGGATATTGATGGGGTCAGTGAAGTAGCAGAGGGGGCTGTTAATCAGTTTTAGCTGCTTTGGTGTTAATTAAATTAACAACAGGTCCACTAGAGGGGCAACAACGAGACATCCCTTAAAATAGGAATGCTTTCTGCATTTGGCTAGGGTCAGTGTCACTACTGGCAGCATGAGGCAATACCTGGATCCTACAGAGCCCGCCCAGGCAGTCCAATTCCTGAATAAATAAGTGTCATCGCCAGTGATAGAAGTCATTATGAATGGACTTTATAAATGAAAGTTAGGAGAGCTTGTTTAAGGTATTTAAATTATCAGTTAAGAGACAATGAGCTTAGTTTTTGTTAGATTTGCTGCTGTGGGATCATTGGGCTCATTGTTGTGTTACATGACCCAGTTCTGGGCAAAGCTTTATCTGCCAGACAGATGGCCTCACATTTGACTTTGATATACAGAGGAGCTCATGACAGTGGGTGCTCAGGTCACGTGACTGCAAAACAAGCCAAAATCAGCACTCCACTAGCTGCGGAAGTGCTGATAACATTAAAAGAATTAAGTATAACCAAAACTATACTCCTCAGTATGGGACAAAAGATAAATATATATTTCAATATGAGTAAGAAACATAAATTAAGAAAAATAAACAACCTGTTTGTCTTTTACTAATTAAATATTACAATGATTGCTCATGGGAGGTTTTAGAGTGTGGGGGGTGGGCGGTATTGATATGCTTTACAGGGTTAATACAGTGTAGCTATATAGTGCAGTACCAAATTTAGCCACTTGACGGGGATCTAAATCTGATTTGTGCCTTTAGGATTCTCCAGACAAGATCATTCCTGAAAAACTTTCATGGCAAGAGTAAAGCTGTACCATAAAACAGCAATTAAAAAATACACAGGTACAAAAAGAGCTTTAAGGATAAAATCCAAAAGAAATAAATAAAATAAAAATAAGTAATAATACCTGATGTATTGGAATGTATCTGAAATGTAGCCACGACACATGAGCAGAATTAAGATTTGTAGAGCATTTATGGAAAGACAAACCTAAAATAATTTTTTGGTTTAGCTGCCATTTAGATTTAACGATTTAACGTTTGTACTTCTTACCTCTAATAAGGATTTTTCTTTTTCTTTTTTAGCATCCAGATCTAAATGTTAAAACAGAAGATCTGCAAGACCAAGTGCAGATTAGAAATTTGATTTAAAAGAAGAACTCTGTTTATTTAGCATATGGCTATATTGATGGTTTGTTGGTGACCTTGTGCTTATTAAAAGATACTGCTACAAAATTTAGATGCTGTTTCCTCCAAAATGTTATCACATCTGTATTTAAATTAAGATCAGGAAACACCTGTACCAATCAGATGATCAGAGGCCGACTGATACAGTGCGAGTGTGTCACTCTCCTGAACAGACCCACTGACATAGACAAAGACCTAACTGTCTCCAACTGTGGGGTGGAGCCAGTGCAGGTGAGGTGCCGACAAGCAGGTGGGTGAAAAATAAGCTGCAAAACTAACCTGAGTGACAAACCAGCGAAAGACAGTGTTTCCTGATGCTATTGCGACAACTCTCGTTTAGTTACATTTAACTTGGATCCTTTAAAAAAAAAAAATGTTTGTTATAATTTCATGCTGTGAAATTTTATTTCACTCTGAAGAGCCTAAAACTGTTGCCACTATCAGGAAAAATCTATCAGCATATCAAGATCCTAACAACACCTCTGTTCACTGTTGTCTTGCCTCTCAGCATCCAGATAAGTAAGTCATGTAAAATCATATTAGCGTGCATCATAGGTGAACTGTTGACTCTCACTGTAGCAGTCGGCCTCTCTGATCATCTGATTGGTGCTTTTTTTCATTGTTTCCCTGATCTTAATTTAAACCTAGATGTGACCACATTTTGGAGGAAGCAACATCTAAATTTTGCAACAACTTTCATTATTTCATAATCTTTTAACATGCACCAAGTAACTGGCAAATCACCATTTTACCCACATTCTAAATAAACAGTTTTAGAAACTAGCAGATGTCTTTCTTTAAATCAAGTTTCTAATCTACAGTTCTTCTGTTTTCACATTTCAATCTGTGTGGTAAAAAAAAAAGAGAAATTTCCATATGATATGATGTTTTTAGGGAAAATGTGTGTTTGTGTATGAGTGTCATTTTGTGAAGTAAGGTAATGGTCAGATACTCTGCTAGGCCTCAATCTAAGAGGTGTAAATATGGAAGCCTCCTTTCTGTCCAGCGCATGATGCCTGGGCGCTGTACAGTGATGGTCCCACCCACTCACAGCAGCTGGAAAAAATGCAAATGTTGCTTATGCAATAAAAAGACACTGAAAAAAGAGAATTCATGGATGGGCAGCTTTGCTTAAATCCTCCAGTTTCGACAGAATGGGACTCATGAGGTGACATAATTTAGCAGGAAGTGCAAAGTCAATTCTAATGAATCAGGAGTGATTCCTGTAAAACTGAGTGGATTAATAACGCTTCTGATAAGAATCTTTTGATTGCTTTGTGTAGAACGCGTGTTCTCCTTTTTGACGGACAAATGTTTTACTGCTCTGTCAAAACACCCTAAGAAACCATAACATTTGAGATAGCATGTGACAATCAGCATATTCCTGTAAACAACAATGCACAATCTGTCACATAATTTATGGTTAAGAAGTAAATTATGGACATGGTTTAAACAACTGATTTGCATGTTAGTTACACTTTCATTACATAACACTGTCTTTTGTGCTGACATTTGAAGGAATTGCTTTTAATTGTCCTGGATTTTGCACAGTATTTTTCCACAACATGACGATCTCCATATACATTCTGTTCTTTGAGGGGTGAGTCATGTAACTCGAGGCTGCTGAGAAGACAATTACAAAACAGAAATTTGACTCCAGTGCACAAACTGTACAAACTGACTCAGCTCAAGTCTCAATATTACTTCAACACTCCTACTGATGTATTCATCCGATAGAGCTGAACGTGTAAACAATTTAAAAAAAGAAGTAAAAATAAACTAAAAATACAGTAGAGTAAATCCTTCCATGACTACATTATGCTTAAATATGCTAAATGCATGTCAAAAACCTCCTATCTCCGTGTAAGTTCTCAGTTATCCAGTTGAGTCATAAGAGCTTGAAAAGAAGGAAGTGGCTTCACCACTGCTAGAACAGCTGGAGTAGAGTCCCTGCTCTATACTCTGCTTTATCAACGTGGACTAATAAAGCAGTGGGTACTAGCCCACTTTTAGAAACAGTGGCCGACTCCAGTGGATGCTGGTCGGGTGCTCCAACAGGAAAATGCCCCTAACCTCGGGACTGTGGAGCATGAATAACAAAAACGAAAGCATAAAACGGCTGGAAATGTTAGGATACGTTCTGTGGATGTTGCAGGTTTCGCAAGCTTCCTCGAGCACTTGGAGAAAACGAATTGGTGGAATTTTCCTCTCTGAATACAGACCTGTGGAGTCTTAATGGAAACTTACCAGAAGTAATCATCAGACATGGTGCAACCTGTGGGCGTAGCGTCAGTAGGTGGCAGTGAATGATATAAATACGAGGCACGATGCGGTAATTACACAGCATGACAGTACACCTGTATGAGAACAACATGGAAGGACACCACAAAGGTAAGACTTTAGGAAGTTATTCTTTATTTAGATTGAGAGCTAAATTTCACAACCAGGAAGAGTGTTAAATCACCAAGCACTCTAATAATAATAATGATGATGATGATAATAACAATGCTTTCAAATTACTGTATAAAACTCATAGCAGGGTTAATGGGTTGTGGTAGCTTTGTGTTAGTGGTGAGAATCCAGCTATTTGGTTCAAATAGGTGTGCAAAAGGCAATCATGCTTAACTAATGTCTTTCTTAATGAAATTTCATGTCAAATATCATGTTGCTGCAGGCAGCTTCTTCAATGTGCTCTGTAGTGTTGGACTCTTTGAGTACTCTGAGGCCAGCTATTACAGTTCTGGGTCTTTGTTGGCATTACAGATTGTAAAATTATCAAGCCAGTGCTTTCTGGTCTCTGCTTTCTGGTCTCTGCTTTCTGTCTCTGATAGTTAACCCTTTAACGCCTGAACTATGAAATAGGTGCCAGGAAAGTTACTTTTTTTGATACTGGACTTTTTATTCTGACAAATGAGAGAGAAAAAAAAGAAAATATATGAGTTTTAATTGGTGTCATATCCACTATAGTTAAGAGATATTCTGCCAATTACTAATCTCACTTTGAGGTGCAATAATGTTCTGATCTGTTTTGGCTTTTAGTTTCCTCTTTGCCGTGTTCCAGAGAGGCTGCTTTGATTCGTCTCCTACTGGTGTCAGGGAAACAGTGTTGTTGGGAAACAGGGTTGTTGGGAAACAGTGTTGTTGGGAAACGGGGTTGTTGGGAAACAGGGTTGCTGGGAAACAGGGTTGTTGGGAAACAGGGTTGTTGGGAAACAGGGTTGTTGGGAAACAGGGTTGTTGGGAGACTGTTTAGAGTGTGTTTGAAAGCGGTCAGTCTCAGCACCAGCTGACGTAGGTGACTGTTTTCTGGGACCCTTTTTGGGCTTTGGAGGGCTTTGGAATGGGGCGTGGTTTAAGAACTGGATTTAAAACTTGAGTAAAAAATGTGAACACAACTCTGGCTGACCGGCAATTGTTGGTGTTTTTCTGTGCTTGCGTAAAGTCTGTCGGCAGAGTTTCTGTTGGGTGTTTACCCCAACAGCCACAGCTGTGATGACTGGGTGGACCCCATACTTCACTACCCTGCAGAGCAATGGGCATTGAACTCTAACTGGAATTTAGAAATGTAAAAATAAAAATGTTCTCTTAACTGGATTTAGAGCTTTTATAACCTTTCCTTTAGTGTATTCACCATGTTGATGTTATAATTATGCTATTATGGTTATACCAAGGTGTCATACTGTTTTAATGTGGGCTGATACCTGACTCCTCTTTTCTGTGTTTGAAAGATAAAACACTCTTATCCAAATTTCTCTCAGTAAGTCAGTGTTGAAGGTAAAGTGCAGAAGTGAAATCAGCTTTAAGAGAGAAAAAATCTTACAGCAAAGCAGATTACAGAAGAAGGTCTGTGTCAACTGAACGAGGAAGTGTTCCAAACTAAGAATTAAAAAAATGGGAAATTGGAAGAAAAAGATGAATTGCTAAATCATTCGTTAAGCACTTTCTTGCCAAACAATCTTTTACTTCAGCCAGCTTTGAGGAAAGCTTTGGAGAGCCTTCTTTATCTTTATCTTCTGTCATGTTTGTACGTAATTTGCATCGGCTGAGCTTTTCAAAATATATCTAGTTTTTGAGAAAGCCACTGATGTCAGAACTCATATGATTTAATTTGTCTTTATTCAGAGGAGAAAACCAGTGATGTCCAAAGCCCGGCAGATCCAGGTCATCCAGTGAAATGTTCTCCAGTCATCATTGGCAATATTCCTCTGAATGGACCCACTCTGAATGTACTCGCATCAGAGAACTTCATTCACCAGTCCATGTCCATCATTGTGGAAAATGCAATAAAAAAGGCCACAGACGTCAGAGAAAAGGTAAACAATGAATGTATGGATATGTAACTATACGACAGCAAATTCTGCTCTGTTTGACAGTGACATGTTTGTTCCTGCTGATCAGGTTTGTGAGTGGCGCTCTCCCGAGCAGCTGAAAGAGCTGCTGGACCTCGAGCTGAGAGATGGGGGAGAGTCAGAGTCTGAGATCCTGCAGCGCTTCAAAGATGCCATCAGATACAGCGTCAAGACTAGTGAGTGTTTGAAATTTAATGAACTGAGATCCGAACACAGAGACACCACTTTAGGAAAGTGGCTTCCTGAGTGTTTCTGTAGCAGTGATGTGGAGGGACATTTAATGAACCCAGGCTACCAGATGCCAAATACCCTGCAGACAATCATCAGAACTATGGGTAGATCAGGAGATAATGGCCCCTGGGCATAAACAGGCACAAACAACATGTTCTCACTCCCAAAGCGTAATATTTGATGCTAGGTGACAAATCGTCAACATATTACACCTCTGGGCACCCAACACGTCCCTAAATGACGAGATCGGAAAAATAAGGAAACGTGAGTGCCGTTTCAATCTACACATGTTCGTTCATTTTACTTAAATTTAAACTTTCGAAAACACTATTTAACGTCATTAAAGTGCTGGTTAAAGTTAGGGAGAAGGTTATGGGTAGGGTTAGGGATAAGGATAGAGTTATGGCTGGAATACATGGCTGGAACGTGTATTACTGGGGGACCATAATTCTAGTGATGTCATCCATAACCCTGCGCGTTGCATAAGAAAGCGGAAGGTCACCTTTCACGCTCCTCAGGAAGTCATCGGGATGTTACGCCTCAGGCATAAGAAGCTATATGTCGTTTAGTGGTCCATCATGCCTTTAATGTAATTTAGCACCTCTTTAACTGTTGACACCTCTTTTCTTTTATATTTCTGACATCAGTCTGCTGGAGTTTTTAATGTCTCTGTAGCTGTTTTGTGTTGGCCAAGGTTTTTTATTTCACTGGAGTTTTTTGTAGTTTCTTTGGTTGTCTTTGTAGTAATTTTGCTTGTTCTTTAGTCTCTTTAAAACTCATTTTTTTGTAATTTTTTTTAACTCCCTTTTTGTCTCTTTATACTGTTATTCCATTTTTGAGTCAACTTAAAAAAGATGCAGAGTTGTGTTGAACTCTTGAAGATGTAAATTCTGAATGAAGAAATGACACTTTGATGTATTTTACTTACTTACTTCAGGATGTTTGATTAGTCCTCATCTGATTCTTACCTGGCCTGATTCAGCTTTTAATATTTTTTAGCTCATCCTCGTTTCTTCAACCAACTGTATGCTGGGATGGAGCCCTACTCTATGGTGGCAAGCTTCATTATTGAGGCTCTCAAGCCCAGTCTGTGAGTACTGCACTTATTTACAGCTAAATACTTTGTAGAGAAATCTTACAGGATCATTCAATATTCAGTACTGTTGTAAGATTTGGTTTGGTTTTTAATCAGGTACACATACGAGGTGGCTCCAGTCTTCACGCTGGCGGAGGAAGCTGTGTTGAAGAAGATGATGGAGCTGATTGGCTGGAAGGATGGCGGAGATGGAATCTTCAATGCAGGTATAATCGCCGACAGATAATAACAGCAGGTATACCAGAGTTGGAGAAAGAACGTCAACATATCAAGTCATGAAACTGATAAAAAAATGAGACTATGACATTACCTCTTCTTTTAACAACACCTTGCACATTTTTTAGAAGATAGCCAATTATTGTAGTGATGAAAACCAAATGCTTATACTATACTGGCTGATACAGGAATTTAACTGCTCAACAGCTTAAAACCTGCATGATAATGCATCCGGTGAGGGTGACAGGTTCGCATTACAGAAAAGCCAGTTTAGCAACTTCTTGTAATGAGTCAATCAGTTGTGTTATATTACGATTCTTTGAGAAATAAGGATAATCTTGGTGGTAGTATATGTCTCTGATTACGCTGCCTCTACAATTGTTAAGGTTGCTTTTGTACACAAAAGCTTCCACACCGCCACAGATTATGTGTTTTGAACTGTGTGCGCCATATTTCAGTAAAATAAAGGCTTTGATTTGTGCATCATTGCACTTTGTCACAACCTTTTTGGACACACAGTAGAATGTTAATATCTTTTTCTTAAGAAAATAAACATCTCCTACGTTTTTTCCTTCTAGGCGGTTCAATGTCCAACATGTATGCTGTGAACTTAGCCAGGTACCGTTGCTGCCCTGACATAAAGGAGAACGGCCTCTCTGCAGCTCCACGCTTGGTCATGTTCACGTCACAGGAGGTACGTTTTCTAAAAAGTCATTACAAAAAAAATTCTTTGACAGATTTTTTTTTGGCCACATTTTCTTACTTCCTAAAAGTAAATCCTAAATATAACTTGTCTCAGAAGAAGCTCTTCTCTGTCTTTTGTCTAACCCTCTTAATAAGCAAAACATTCTTTTCTGGCCTCTTTAACACAAATGAATGTTGGCATGAATGTTTTACTTGCTTGATTAAGCAGACAAATCTTGCATCTCTTGAGGGGATGCTCGCCTTGCAAATCTACCGGATTCTTTGAACAACGGGTCACGCGGTGAAATTAGATCTGCTTTGTACGACCGTAATTGTTGCATAATTCTTCCTTTATCTCTTTCAGTGTCATTACTCCATTTCCAAAGCAGCAGCTTTGCTGGGGATTGGCACAAAGAATGTTTACGCGATACCATCTGATGAGAGGTAAAGAGCCACTCGCACACTTTACACCTACAGAGGGACCTGGCATTGCACGGTCCAGAGTTGGTGTGGGAATACCTCATTGTGTTTCAGTGAAAATGACGCTTAGTCTGCTGGGGTAAAAATGAGTTAGTAAGCTGACTGAATGATGAGTTGCTGTGTGTGTTTTTCAGAGGGAAGATGATTCCTTCTGCTCTGGAGGAGCAAATACTGTCTGCCAAAAGTGAGGTGAGCGAGCAGTCGCTGGCTGTTTTGATGGGCTTTAATTAAAGTTACAGAATTATTGAACAAAATGTTCATGTGCGTGTGTTCAGGGTGCAGTTCCCTTCATGGTAAACGCCACCGCAGGAACCACAGTGCTCGGAGCGTTTGATCCCATCGATGTAATTGCCGACATCTGTGAGAAGCACAACCTGTGGCTGCATGTGGATGTGAGCCCTATGATTAATTAATCTATTTATTTATTTCCTGTAACCATGTCTGACAATCAGCTCTTCTTATTATAATATTCTCTTTTTTCCTCAGGCATGTTGGGGAGGAGCAGCTCTGGTGTCCAGCAAGCATAAACACCTGTTAAAGGGCATCCACAGGTAAACAGGCAGCTGTACGGATGAAGGCACCATTGCCTCTTAGTAAAGTGAAATGCTGACCGTTTCCTGTTGTAACCTCTCCTCCTGCTTTGTGGTTTTGATCAGAGCCGACTCTGTTGCCTGGAACCCTCATAAGATGCTGATGGCATGTCTGCAGTGCTCGGCTTTCATGGTCAGAGACAAAACGGTAAGCATGAATAATCCTCATCAACAGACTCCTCATCTGTGGTCCAGAAACAGCACATGTGACTGTGACTTCTTCCATTTTCAGCCTCTTTACGGCTCCATATAGTCAGGCTAAATGTTTGACAGGAAAAAAGTTATAAATTATAACAAGCTTGTCACTACTTGTGTGTTAGCTACACAAGTTAGAAAGAAAACTTTAACATTCAACTACACAAAAGGTCAGTTGAATGTTAGGTTTGGCTCCCACTCACTTCTCTCAAGGCCTGCAAATTCACACCATCGTTAATCTCTCACTGGGCTCTTGTGCTCTTTCTGTTAACAGAAATTCAAACTGGAAATGTAGAGTTTACCATTCTAGACAATAACTGTACTCTTTATGTGTCCGGACCCATCTTCATTTTTACATACACCCTATATACATACATACGTATATATTGGTTGTTGTTGTTGTTTTAACTGAGTTATGTTTGGACATTGCTTCATATGTAATTATATCTATGTAACAAATACCTTAATGAATACTTTAAGGTTAACATAAAGGTGAGGCCTGTTTTATGTCGGTCCATCAGTGGTTGTTGAAATTCTTGCTGAAAAGTTTAGTGTTACAGTCCAGCTCACCCAACTCAGCAGACATGACTGGAATATGAATGCACATCAGAGAAATATGACCAGCCACATGCGCTTAATTAACAAGTTGGGGCTAGGACAGATCACCAGTCTGTCTGTCTATATAAACAGTGGAGCATTACACAGCTATGTGCTTCAGCACAGTCATTCAGCAGAGCTTTGGGCCTGGGGTGGACCTGCCAGTACAGTTCACTGCAGACTAGTTCTCTTGTAGTTCCACATTTTGGATTTATATATAATGCTAAATGCTCGCATAAAGGCCTAGTTGCATTATGGTGTCAACATGTGTAGGCTTACACTTTTTCCAAACTGATTAAGAATCACTGAAGGAAAAACAACTATAAACAGAGTAAAAGGTAACATTCAGTACAGTGCGAAATACCCATCATTATCTAGCCTTGTGCAGACTACAAGTCCTGGTTTCCTGTGTTTCTTGTGCTGACAAAAAAGGTTCTCCGACTGATATACCAGAGTCTATTACCTCCTGTTCAAATATAAAATCACTCTATATGACTCATCTGTGTCCTTGTGCTCCCTCAGAGTCTCCTGCAGCGCTGCCACTCTGCACGGGCCTCTTATCTCTTCCAGCAGGACAAGTTCTACGATGTCAGCTACGACACGGGGGACAAGTCGGTGCAGTGCAGCAGGAAGCCGGATGCTTTCAAAATCTGGCTCATGTGGAAGGCTTTGGGAAGCAGAGAGCTGGAGCAGAGGGTGGACAGAGCCCTCGCCATGGCAAGGTCAGTCTGAGGAACCATGGGCTGCAGATAAATATCACAGTGACCGCATGGCAATATTTACTAAATCAGCTCATCACAGAAATAGGAATCAAAAATTTATGTAGTGGTCCTTCACACCACAGAAGTATTGCTCATTCATGGAATACAGGCTTAGCAGCATAAATTACAGAAGAATAGACCCAGCAGTGCTTCATGCACAGAGACTGAGGACTGCAGTGAACTAACTGCTCTAACTTTAACTGACAAAATGAAACTATGTGCACGACTGTGGGGACTAAGCTGGTGCACAGTGCACTCTAGTGGCCATTTCTGTGAATGACCTCAGTAATAAGCAAAAATGTGGAATGGCATTATTATCATTTATGTTTAATTTCAATAAAATAAAAATAATAAAAATGCAAAATAT